CTACATCAGCATGATGAGATCTGTCCTCACTGGCGTCACCGAGGATCCCGAGTGGCACCCGCTGGCAGAGGTGATGGGCAACAACGAGCCGTGGTGTGACCATAAAGCGAGCTTCAGGAGGGGGGCATCCACGGACATCCAGGTCGCACCCACAATGGAGAAGCTGATCAGGGTTCTTGGGGATTCGGAGGTGGACTTCGAGGGCGCGCGCTTCATGGGCTCGGCCATCAAGGAGATCGAGAACTGGAGGAAGACGTGCCGCGGGGCCTCGAGGGCGACCCACGTCGTAGAGAGCGAATTGAAGGACAAGCTTCGCACGGCCATCGAGCGCATCCTGAGGGCCAGCGCGGGCGACCTCGACATGACAGTCTCGAACATGCTGCTTGACGTGCTCGACAACTTCGCGCGCATCAAGGGGTACGAGGTAGACACTGCCGACGATCCGTTTGAAGGCAAGCACGGTGACCTGGCGAAACACGTTGATCATGCGAGGAAGGTCGCCATCGAGAATCTCTTCAGGGCGACCATCACCAGGTGCACCGAGGCAGGGGGCAACGCCCAGTCGTACCAGGACGTCAAGAAGTTCGTGGAGGAGCACAAGCATTTGCAATTACCGCTCGGGAGCGATTCCGACATCGTCCTGAAGGCCACCTGCCACGTCATGGACTCCATCGAGCTCTTCAGCGCTGGCGTGCAGCTCGAGACGATGAACAGCATCGGCCTGATGGTCCAGGACGCCATCGACAAGCACCAGGTCGCAACGCTCATGATGTTTACCGTCATGCCCTCGGAGTCGAACAAGGTTTCCCTCAGCGCCGTCGGCGCGCGGCTTGCCGACGTCTTCGCCTACGTCGGGGTGGCGCAGTGCGCGCGCGAGTTCTACGAGACGAGCGACTCGGACACCGCCCTGACGCGCAAGGCGTGGGAACGGCTGGACTCTGCCATCAAGGGCACCCCTGCCGACCAGTCCAGGGTCGAGCCCCACCTCGGCGCCTCGGAGGCGCTCGGCTGCTCCACGTGGGAGGACTTCGCGACGAAGAGCTCTGGGCTGGCCAACGTTGCCGTCGAGATGTCCATCGTGTACAAGAACTCCACGATCGAGAGCCTCGTGGACAGGGGGAACATCTTGCACGCTGCCCTGGAGAAAATCGCAGGTGGCATGCTGAACGGATCGCATTTCTTGGACTCGTTCCAGGGCGACCTCAGCAACTACGACGAGACGATGACGCACCTGCGAGCGACGATGTTCAAGCAATTGGGCTTGAACTCCCGCCTGAAGACCAGCTACCGTGACCTGAAGCACCACCAGTGCGAGGTCGAGAGAGAGGCCAAAGCCCTTGGAGTTCCAGACGAGAAGTGGACGGCGACGAACAAGGAGTGGTCAGACACGTTGCGGAAGGGCGACGTCACGATGATCGTGGCCAGCCTGTCGCAATCGCTGAAGGACGGCCGCAGCGACGAAGTCACCAAGCAGACTCTGCAGAAAAGCATCGACGTGATGCAGAGCAGGGGCGTCGCGATCGGCGACGTGCCGAAGAGCATCGGGGAGAAAGCCCAGGAGGTGCTCTCCAAGTGAGGGCGTCGGCGCCCGCTCGAGGCCGCCCGACGGCGGCGCTGAGGAGGAGGAGGAGGAGGAGGAAGAAGAGGAAGGCTAGGAGAGAGACAGGAGGACAAGGAGGACAAGGAGGAGGAAGAGCAGCAGCAGCAGCACCCGGGCGCACGACGACAGCGGCGGGCTCGGCGGGCAGCAACAGCTTGCGCTCCCTCCCTTCTCACTCTGCTCTCGCCTTCCTTCCTTCCCGCTGCTTCTCCTTCCCTCTTCCCTTTCTCCCCGCTCTACTTTCCTTCTCCTTCTCTCCTCCTTCCGCCTGCCCTTCCCCCCCTCCTCCTCCTCTTTGCCCCCGCTGCCCTCCTCTTCCTCCCCCTTGCTGTCTAGTGAGGCCTGCGGCCAATCCGCTAACCTCGGTTGGGGTCAACGTCGATGTGGGCGTCAGCTCCACTTTGAGCTCGTAACAGCAGCGAACGCAAAGCAGCCATGACTGTTTTCTAGCGCCTCGGTTGGGCGCGAACTCGGCCATGACGTTTCGGTGGGCCCCTCAAGGGCTGGCAGCCGTGGTCGACGACCGCAGGGGTCAGGGCATCAAACCCTATGGAGCATTTCCTCCATCAAACCCCATCAAACACCCCAAGACAGAGTAGGCTGCCACGGGAAGTCTCAATAGTAGCGCTCGAGTCGACGGCGCGCATGATGAGCCATCATGGAGCAGCCGAGCTCCTCATGCCTATCGACGTTGCTGGAATGGGGAACTCCCAAGTTGCACACGTCCTGCAGAAATCAGCGGGGACGCCGGGGCGGCCAGTGGCAGTCATGACGTTCGCGGCCTTTCTCTTCCGGAATGTCCACTTGCTGCCCCGCCGTCGTTTTGCGCTCATGCTTTCTCCCTTCTCCTTCGTCCCCCCTGCCCGCCCCCTTGTTCCAGATGATATTTCATGCTCTTTCTATTCGTCCCGGCTCCTCTCCCTATTGCGGTGTTGCTGCCGTCTTCCCCCCCCCTCCTCCGCCTCCCCCCCCCCTTCCCGCCCGCTTGCCCCGCGGTTGTCTTCCTCGCTGTTCGTCTTTCCTTGAAAGAGCGTGTTCTACCGGTGCTGGCGGAAAAACGGGGGGGTCACTGGGGGGTCCCAACCTGTCCCCCCCCCCTTTCGAAAACAGCAGGGGGGGGGGGTCACTACCGGTTCAACCCCCCCCTTCCCCCCCCCCAGTCCACCATGAAAAGGGGGGGGGGTCACTACCGGTTCGAACCCCCCCCCCCCCGCCGCCGGCAAACGAGCCTTGGCTCTTCGGGACAGTTTGACCGTGGTGAGGATACTGGGACAGTGGTGGGGACGGTGATCGTGGGGACAGTGGTGTGGGAACAGTGGGATAGTGGTGCGGACAGTGGGACAGTGGTGGGGACGGTGGTGGTGGGGACAGTGGTGAGGGGACAGCGGGACATTGGTGGGGACAGTGTGAACAGTGGGACAGTGGTGGGGGCGGTAGTGGTGGGGATAGTGGTTAAGGCGGTGAAGAGAACGGTGGTGGGACAGTAGTACAGTGGGGAGAGTGGTGGGGACAGTGGGGACAGTGGGACAGTGGTGGAGGCAGTGGGGACAGTGGAACAGAGGCGGGACCGTGGGGACAGTGGGACAGTGGTGGGGGCAGTGGGGACAGTGGGACAGAGGCGGGGACAGTGGGGACAGTGGGACAGTGGTGGGAACAGTGGGACAGTGGGGACAATGGGGAGAGCGGGACCGTGGTGGGACAATGGCGGGGACAGTGGGGACAGTGAGACACTGGCGGGGGCACTGGTGGGGACAGCGGGGACAATGGCGGGAACAGTGGGGACAGTGGGACAGTGGTAAAGACTGTGGGGACTGTGGGACACTGGGAGGGACGACGATGGTGGGGACATTGGTGTGGGGACAGCGGGACAGTGGTGCGGACAGTGGGACAGTGGTGGGGGCGGTGGTGGTGGGGATGGTGGTGAGGGGACAGCGGGACAGTGGTGGGGACAGTGGTGGGGACAGTGGGAATAGTGGGACAGTGGTGGGGGCGGTAGTGGTGGGGATAGTGGTGAAGGCGGTGGTGCGGACTGTGGTGGGACAGTAGTACAGTAAGGGGAATGGTGGGGACAGTGGAGACAGTGGGACTGTGGTGGGGGCAGTGGGGACAGTGGGAGACCACAGTGGGACAGGCGGGGACAGTGGGACAGTGGTGGTGAGACAGTGGTGGGGACAATGAGGACAGTGGGGAGAGTGGGGCCGTGGTGGGACAATGGCGGGGCAGTGGGGACAGTGAGACACTGGTGAGGGCACTGGTGGGGACAGCGGGGACAATGGTGGGAACAGTGGGGACAGTGGGACAGTGGTGGGGACTGTGGGGACAGTGGGGGGGACGGTGATGGTGTGGACAGTGGTGTGGGGACAGTGGGACAGTGGTGGGGACGGTGGGGACAGTGGGACGGTGGTGGGGACAGTGGTGGTGGGGACGGTGAGGGCGGTGGCGGCGAGGACGGTGGTGGCACAATGGCACAGAGGTACAGCGGGGACAGTGGTGTGGACAGTGGGGACAGTGGTGGGAATAGTGGGACAGATCAGTGGGACAGCGGCGGGGACAGTGGGACAGTGCGGACAGTGGGGACAGTGGGATTGTGGTGGGGACCGTGGGGACAGTGGGGAGAGTGGGACCGTGGTGGTGGGAACAGTGGCGGTGATGGTGGGGATAGTGGCGGGGACAGTGGGGGCAGTGCGACAGTGGTGGGGGCACTGGTTTTTCTGGAGTGGGGGGGGAGCTTGCGAACCGATAGTGACCCCCCCTGGTTTTCTGGAGGGGGCGGGGTCGAGCCGGTAGTGACCCCCCCGGTTTTCTGGAGGGGGGGGGCGAGGACGAAGGGGACCATGTCAGGAGAAGAGGAGGAGGGGGAGGAGGAGGAGGAGGAGGAGGAGGAGGAGGAGGAGGAGGAGGAGGAGGAGGAGGAGGAGGAGGGGAGGAGTAGGAGGAGGAGGAGGAGGAGAAGGAGGAGTGGAGGGGGGGAAAAGGAGGAGGAGGAAAAGGGGGAAAAGGAGGAGTGGCGGAGGAGGAAAAGTAGGAGAAGGAGGAGGAGGAGGAGGAGGAGGAACAGGAGGAGGAGGAACAGGAGGAGGAGGAGGAGGAGGAGGAGCAGCAGAAGAGGAAGAGGAGGAGGAGAAGAAGGAGGAGGAGGAGGACGACGACGACGATGACGAGGGCAAAGACAAGGACGAAGAGGACGGGAGGAGGATGGAAGAGGAGGAGCAGGAGGAGGAGGAGGAGGAGGAGGAGAGGAGGAGACGGATGAGGAGAAGGAGGAGGATGAGGCGGAGGACGATGACGATGACGAGGACGAAGAGGAGGGTAGGAGAGGAGGAGGAGAAGGAGGAGGAGGAGGGAAAGGAGGAGAAGAAGGCGGAAGAGGAGGAGTTCGTGGGAGCGGCGCGCCCCGCAGTGCAAGCGGATCCGCCGCTTGTTGCACGGGAGCCACGGCGCCTGGTCGGAGGACCCCATGGCAGCGGCGGGCCGCACGGGTGAGCGGGGACGGCGGGGCCCAAGGGGTGGGGAGGAGGAGGAGGAGGAGGAGGAGGAGGAGGAGGAGGAGGAGGAGTGTTCTTTCCGCCACAGCCGAAGCAGCCTCCGTGCTCTTGTCCGGGGGACCTGGCTGTGCTCGACCTCTCCCGCGGGGAGTGGCGCGCGGCACGGGCGCGCGGGGAGGGCGGGGTCCAGGGGTGGGAGGGCGTCCAAGATGAGCGGGAATGTGGCATTTCGAAGAGGGGGGGTGGGATGGGGGCGGAGATGAACACAGGAGAGTCGAAGAGCGGACGGGGGGGGTCGAAGAGGGGGGGATCTCATGGCGGGGGCCATGACGCCTCCCCAGATCGCGTGGCTTCCCCTCTTCTCAACACGTCCCCTGGTTCCCCCCATCGTCCGCGCACATGCCTCCAGCCATGAGCTGCGACTCCCCTCCCTTGGACGCCCCCCTCTTGGACACTGAGGGGGGGGGCAGTCGAAGCGCAGACAGCAACAGAAGCATGCCGCGCCTCATGTTCGCCAGGATTCAGGGGGGGGAAAACACACAGACACAATGAATCGTCGATTCCCCAGAAAATATTGGAAACTATGGGAAGTGGGGGGGAAGACGAAAACCCAGAACATATAGGAAAATATGGGGAATCATTTTATTTGTGTGTACTTATTTGTGTGTCCTGGGGCCCCTTCAAGGATGTCCGCACGTATATGGCTATGCGCTCGTGGTTGCTCTGGTGTGTCGAGGGTGTCCGCGGGGCGGCGTGATTTTCCGCATCGCAGTCGGCCGCATTTGCCACGAGGAAGACTTACGAGGGCCAGGTGATCGTTGCCTGATTCATTATTTTGCCGATCGGCACGGGAGGTCACACCCCCCTCCCCCCCCCTGGAGTAGATGTTGGCTGATGTTGGCGCCTCTTTCGAGCAGGCGAGGTGTCTCCCACATAGGACGCACTGTTGTAAACAGTGGCATTCGGCGGAGGGCTGGAGCCAGACCCCCCCCCTTTCCGCCCAATGTCGAAACGCCGAATAAGAAAACGTTCACCATGCAGGTGTTTCACTCCCAGACATGATCGCGTCTTGGCCATTTGGCCGTTGTTTTGCCGTTTTCGGCCTCGGGGGGCTCTCACTGGGCCTCGAGACCGTCAACAAAACGACTCAGGATGAACAACCCGCCCCGGGGGAAGGGTCGGGACTTCAAGGGACTCCGTATTGCACCTCCTTTCCTTTTCATGTGCCCAGGTTGCCAGAGGAGGCCCTGGGGTAGCGTGGTCGAACTCGGTCATGCCGGGGCGATTTGCTGTGGCGTCGCTGCGTCTTTCTTGGCCGCTATCGTTGAGCAGGGACCGACCGTGCCGGCATTCCTATAGGCCTACCACGAAATCTTCTTAAACCCAAAGCGTTCTAATAACAAAAACATTGTTCTTAGAACATGAACCCTATGTATTCAAACACGACAGGCTCGGCCAGAAATGGTTTAAGAACATTTCGTGCAGACCACAAAAGGTTCTTAGAACATTGTTGGGTAGGGCGAGCCAGGACGCTTCGCCACTGCTTGAGATTATCGGCCTGGTCCGATTCGGTCGGGCGGTTTCGGTGTCGTCGTTGCTTCGGTCGGCTTTCGGCCTGGTTGCCGCCGTGGGCTTTGACGGGCAAGGCCCTTGCCCATCGCAGGCCACGAGCCCCTCCTCCTCGCCCTACCATTCCAAGGGTAGGTCCAGGAGGAGGTGGAGGAGGAGGAGGAGGAAGTGGCACGGCGGCGGCGTGGTGGCGGATCGGCAACGTCCCGACTGAGTTCGGACTCAAGTGCCACCCAGCGGGTGCAAGTAGTCCAGCTGCAACTTGCCGTGCCGAAGAGAAGTGGGAGGATCCAGGACAATCGAGGCTGAAGTGGGAGGAGGGTCGTAAGATCCCCGGTTCCCGTGGAGACCTCACGTGGGGGGCTCGTTCCGCGAATGTCCTCGGCCAGGCTCCCAGAGGCTTGGAGCAGACTCCCAGAGTCAAGTCGGGCCTGTCCCTCTGCAGGAGGAATAGTCAAAAATAGTCCAAACATAGCCTGGGGAAGATTTGTTTGTCAATTTTTCAGTAGTTTAGTTTATTTGTTGACTTTTTCTTATATTTCGTCCAACATCCCCCGGCCCGGTTTAATTCCAGAGGCCGAGAGCTCGTGGCAGGAGGAGGAGGAGGAGGAGGAGGAGGAGGGGGAGGAGGAGGAGGTTTTGTGCGAGTCGAGGATCCCAGATTTCTGGGACTGGCTCTCGCGGGGCCCCTGCGAGACGAGCCGCACGATGACGATTAATAAATGACCGGGGATCGTGTTCACGCGGCGTCGCCTGGGATGGCGATTAGAAAAAACCGGCCGCGGGCTGGAAAAGTATTCTCTTTCATCGCTCTCCCCCAGTCAGACAGCGATGCAGAAGCAGCAGAAAAAAACTATGTTTTGATCGTTCTCTCCCATTTGTTTTATCAATCGTCGTCCCGCATCAGCTGGCCTCTGCCGAGGCGTGGTCGCTCGGGGAGCCGCGGCGGCGGGGCCCTGCCGCCCTCTCGAGCAGCGGTCCAGCGGCCGGGCGGGCAGGAGAGGAGCCCCACGGTCCGTGGCGCCCTCGCCGGGGGCTGCGTCTGCGCTCCGGCCGGGAGCCGCTGGCAAGCACGCGGAGAACGCGTAAGGGGTTCCTCCTCCTCCTCCTCCTCCTCCTCCTCCTCCTCCTCCTCCTGGGGGGGGGGGGGGCAGCGAGGGCGGCAGACGAGGAGCCCTTCGGGGCCCAGGAGGGGGCCTCGGGTGCCCGAGAGTGGCACCTCTCTGCCCCCCCCCGGCCTCCATGCAGGGGGGGAAGAACACACAGACACAAGTAATCGTCGATCCCCAGGAAAATATGGGGAAATATGGGAAGTGGGGGGGAAGACAAAAGCACTGACAATATTGGAAAATACGGGAGATCCTGTCATTCGTGTGTGTGTGTGTGTGTATGTATGTATTTGCGTGTCCCAGGGCCCCTTCATCCATGCATCGCCCCCCACAAGTTCGCGCTCAGAGCAGGCTGCCCGCCAGCGCCTGTGCCGCTGCCAGGGATTGCGCTGGCAAGACTCCTCGGCGTCCTTGGAGGATTGAGAGCAGATCAGGAGGCGGAGGGAGGGAGGGAGGGAGGGAGAGGGAAGATATCGATGGTGACATCTCTCTCCAATTCGCCTCCTCTCCTGCGATCTACACTGGCTTGCAATGGCAACGATAGTGGTACTGCTCAGCCGTCCATCGCTTGCACAAGAAACCTATGCCAGAGCCGTCGGAGTCATGGGGCCTCACCTGAGTGCGCCACGGACGACTAGTTTTCGGGTGCGTAGTGACGGTGCTCCTCTTTCGATTCTAGGCTATGGGGTGTTTGGTGATCGCTTTTGGAACCATGAGCAGATCACTGTGAAATAGTGATCGCGGCGCGCATATGGAGCAGCGCGCGCCGTTCGTGTGCCTGTCAATGACCGCACCAGGCCTGATTAGTTCTGTCGACTCCCCCCTCGTCGCGTAGAACACTAAGCAACGAGCGACCTCCATTGCTGTTCGCCTGTACTTGCAACGGGCAGGAGAAGACGAACATGTTCATCGACGAGGTGGTCGCCTCCAACGGTCGTCCAAGTTGGAAGGAGATAGCCTCACGCATGGGCGCCACGGGCTCGAATCACAAAATACCTCCAGCGGGAGGATTCGAGGAATAGGGATGGTGATGATGAGCCGCAGGCGGAGTATGATGGAGGAGGGTGGTAAGTTGTAGGGCCGCCCCTGATCCAGACACCTGGAGGCCGTCTCCAGATGCCCAACAACGTATTCTGCCTCAGTTGTTCCCCCAAACAGCGGTGGCACCTTGGAGCTCGCATTTGTCTGACTCCATGAATTCCATCGGTCAGCCGAGGTTTCCCCCGGTGACCGCCCATGGGCGCCCTTGAGCTCTTCGTGGTCGCCTCGTGGGCGCCTCCTGGGCAGGGGGAGAAGGAGGAGGAGGAGGAGAAGGAGGAGGAGGAGGAAGAGGAGGAGGTGGAGGAGGAGGAGGGGGAGGGGAGGAGGAGGAGGAGGAGGAGGGAGGAGGAGGAGGAGGAGGAGAAGGGAGGAGGGAGGAGGGAGGAGGGAGGAGGAGGAGGGAGGAGGGAGGAGGGAGGAGGGAGGAGGGAGGAGGGAGGAGGGAGAGAGGGGAAGGAGGGAGGAGGAGGGAGGAGGAGGGAGGAGGAGGAGGAGGAGGAGGAGGAGGAGGAGGAGGAGGAAGAGGAGGAGGAGGAGGAGGAGGGGGAGGAGGAGGAGGGGGGGGGGATGAGGAGGAGGAGGAGGAGGAGGAGGAGGAGGAGGAGGAGGAGGATGGTCGCGCCTCTCTGGGGCGCCTCGTGGGCGCCTCGTGGGCGCCTCCTGGGCGCCTCGTGGGCGCCCCGTGCGCTGGGTGGGTCCGCCGAGGTTTCGTCCGGCGTGCCCGCCCGTCCGCGCCTCGGTGGGCGCCGTGTGCGCTGGGTAGGTCGGCCGAGGTTTCGGCGGCGGCCCCTCCTCCTCCCCTCCTCCTCCTCCTCCCTCCTCCTCTCCTCCTCCTCCTCTCCTCCCTCCTCCTCCTCTCCTCCTCCTCCCTCCTCCCCTCCTCCTCCTCCCTCCTCCCTCCTCCCCTCCTCCCTCCTCCCTCCTCCCTCCTCCCTCCTCTATCCCTCAATCCCCCACCCGTGGCCGCTGGGTGCCCTCCCGTGGGCGCGCCTGGGCGCCTCGTTGGCGCCTCGTGGGCTGGGCGGCCGCTGGGCCTGCGCAGCATAGCGTGTGCTGCACAGCCTGCACCGCACGGTTTCCACCGCCCAGTTTGCACCACGCGCCTTTCGCCACACGGCTGAGACTTCGCAGTTTCCGCCGCATGGATTGCATCGCATGTCTTGCACCTCGTAGCCTACAAGAGATAGCTTGCACCGCATATCTTACACTGGCATTGCTTGCACCATGTATGTTGCACCACATCGCATACATGACGTAGCTTGCACCACACTGTTTACATAGCCAACGTGCAATAACGTATCATTGGGGGTCCCAGCTGACAAGCAGTTTGTCGCCATGCTAGGGGCACGCATGGTCCAAGTGCTTGGAGCAGCTACCCCCTAGTTACAGTGGACGCCCATTAAGGATGAGGTCCTTTGCCGTCAAGGATGCCTTGCATCCTGGATGTGTGTTCGGCCTCACCCAGCCAAGTTCACTGGCACCCTGTTGCAACTTGCATGGTCAAAGGCCTTGTACCATTCTTAAATTTTGGCCTTGGTGTATGACTAACTTCCGGCAGTCATGCGGGTAAGAAGGAGCAGTTCTCTGAGCTTGCACGGCGGGGGAGGAAGCCCGCAGAGCCCCTTGGAACCCGACCGACCAGCTCAAAGTTCTCTCGGGAGTCTACGGGAGGGCAAGTGGGGGGGTAGGGAAGGGGCGGGGGGCATCAGCCGAAACCCTCGTCCCCCTCCCTCCCTCCCCCCTCCTCCCTACCCTCTCTCGGACAAGGGGGGTCCCCACCCCCGTCGCGCAGGGGGAGCCCTGGTCTCGCCACCGCCCCAACAGCTCAGGCCAGCCCCCATGTTAGGATCGGCCGGGCACGACCCTCCTTGGGAGCCGGCTGGCGCTCGGTCGGGTGCACACCGTGCGCCTTCGACGGGCCGAGCGCTGTCCAGGCGCGGTGAGAGGAGGAGGGAGGAGGAGGAGGAGGAGGAGGAGGAGGAGGAGGAGGAGGAGGAGGAGGAGGAGGAGGAGGAAAGAGGAGGAGGAGGAGGAGGAGGACGGAGGAGGACGGAGGACGGAGGAAGAAGGAAGGAGGGGGAGGGAGCAGGGAGAGCACCGGCAGGCGGAGGCCACCCAGCCCCCCCGTTAGGCGCTCGCGCACCAGCCAAAGGCAAGGAGCGGGTAAGGAGCAAATGAGAGGAGGGGGACTAGCGGAAGGGAAGCGACGACGTGGCAGCCAGTGGGATTACAGGAAGGCAAGAGGGGGAGGAGGAGGGGGGTAGGATGATGAGGAGGAGGAGGATGAGGAGCAGGAGCAGGAGCAGGAGGAGGAGGCTGGACTCGACCTGAACGGTCATGCAACGCAAATTCAAACCGACCTAAGGGCCCCACCGACCCCTGGCCCTAGCTCCCCCCGGCCGCAGCTGGGAGGAGCCAGCGATCAGGGGTCGAAGGGGTCATCAGGTCTGGGGGCCGCACGGCCCCGATGCCTGGCCGCTAGGGCCCTGGCACTGGCCTCCAGAGCCCTCGACCCCAAGAGCTGGGCTTGGGCCAGCTGGAGCCCGAAGAGCGGGAGCACATCCAGAGGAGACGGCCTCTTCGGGCCCTCCGACGCAGGCCCTACCTGGGAAACCTCAGGGCGCAACGGGGAAAAGTGCTCGGTCCAAAAACGAATGTCAGCATCCGAGGGAGACCTGAGATCCCCGAGCCTCCTAGCACCCCCTGTGGGATGCTTGCCCTGGGCGATGTTATTAGTATTCTTGCTACTGGGGATCGGCCAACCTGGACAGTTATCCTGGAGGCCGCGCCCTTTCCTGTCAGAAACATAGCCTCTACAGCAAGTGCAGAAGAGGAGGACAGAATTTTCACAGGCCTCGGGGAGGAGGGGCACAGCGAGCAAGGAGTGCCCGCACACTCGCCACGGCCTCAGCGCTCCGTGGAGCCTTGGCAGCGGACTCCCCCCTGTGCACAGGGGGTCCGCGCTGGCCGACGGGGCCGTATCCTCCTCGCAGGCCTCCGCGGGGTCCACGGGCCACTCGCCGAGGTCGATGATCTCCAGGGCCTTGACCCCCATGGAGTCGCGGAGGCCCGATCCCGATATGTGCACCTCCTGCTCTGCCGCAAACCTCGCCGCCAGGCGAGCCACGAACTGGCAGCTCTCGACGCAGTGGATGTCGCTACTGTCCGCCCGCACAGCCGTGGCGCCTTCTTTAGCCCTCGCATCGGCCAGCGCGTTGCCGTCGAGCTCGAACTGCGTGATCAAGCCTTCCCTGACGGCTTGCGGCCCCAGGTGGGATCTGACTTTGATGACCTCTGCGTCCTTCAGCCGCTCAGCTCGACCAGCCCAGAGGTGGGCTCGCTGGCTGCCCGCAGCCGCCGCCGCCACGGGGTTGGGGTTGTAGGCGCAGCGCACCGGCCCGAGGCAGTCGCAGTAGAGCGTGAAGGAGCCCCCCGCGATGGTGTCGGTGAGGACCTTCACGGCGTAGTCCTCTCCGTCACGGGCCAGCTGCTCGGGCCCTTCCGACAGCAGGACCGAGCCCCACGCCTCGGCGACCAGCCTGCGGCTCTTGTCGCAGACGATGATGGACCAGCCAGCCGTCCTCAGGCTCGGGTAGTTCTGGTCGAGCCCTGAGCCATCGACGAAGACGTGCTCTCCGTCGGCGAAGGGCCCGAAACTCAGCCAGCTGGTCGAGTGCTTGAAGAAGTCGTCGGTCCGATGCGGCCTCTGGACCACCTCCGAGATGTCGGGGAGCAGCCCCCTGGCAAAGAGCTCCGTGAACGGGCAGCCCAGGCTCTCAACTCGGCCCGCCGTCTCCCGCAAGGGCGGCTCCAGGAACTCGCGCCTCCAGCCGTCATGAGCTTCGCACCTGAACCGCCTGTGGAAGAGGGGCCCGACGGGGTGGCTGCAGAGCTGGCAACTCATGGGGACTGAGGGGTCCTCCGCTCCGACCCTGGCCGGGCAACAGTAGGTGTTCTGGATGAGGCTGCGCAGCGCCCTCTGGTGGTGCGCAGGTCCCACACCTCGGAGCGATGGCTGGTTAGGTCGAGGATCGGCTGCCAGGCCAGAACGGCGGGATAGCCCAGTACCACATGCTGGAGCAGTGCCGCTTCACCTCCTCAAGGCCTATGGCTCGTCGGCAGTCCAGAGAGACCATGTGGCCGAAGAAGGCTGGCGAGTAGTGACGCACCTGGTACTCGTTGCCCATCGCATCATGGACCCTGTAGGGGTCGCCGTCGATGAAGCCCCAGCCGACCCGCTCGAGCGTGAGCACCAGCGCGCTGATCGACTCCTTCACCATGCGCCAGGGGTGCTGCCTCTCAGCGATGAGGCCAGTGGCGAGGCAGGAGCCGACCGCCGACTCGGGGAGCGGGGAGGCCCAGACCATCCCGACGATCGTCAGCGGGTCCCTCTGCCAACCACCTGACTGACCTAGGCTGGCCAGCCCGGGCCAAGCGACCTCTCGCCTCGATGGCTCCAGTTCGCAGCCGCCGCAGTCGGCCGCTGAGGCACTCCCAGGATCGCCGAGCCCCAGGAGGCCTTGGCCGTGGGCCCTGCTCTGAAAACTCTCGGACGGCTGATGGAGGGCTTGAACAGCCTGGTGAGCTTCCTCCCTTGGCAGCGGGCGGCCTTGTCCCGAGCCACTGTGGTCGCCACCCGTCGGTAGGAACCAGCCACCGCGTCGCCACCAAGGTCCCTGTGCACGTCCACGAAGTCGCTCTCGACGATGTCCCAGCCAGGCTGGCGTATGAGGGCTTCTCGCAGCCTCCTGCTGGTTGCCAGCGCCTTGGTCTTGTTCCTGCTGAGCGGCAGGTTAGCCTCCCTCACCTTTAGGCAGAAAGCCCGATAGGCCGCGGCAAGCTGCTGGGCCACCATGGTGCAGGGGCCCGTTACATGGCACGAGACGTCGTCGACCACGTTGAGGATCCTGGCAATGGGAGCCACCATAGCCGCTGCTCTGAGGGCCGAGATAAGGAGGAGCTTGGCCAGGGCCGTGGCGCACGAACATCCAGCAACCACCGTGCCATTCGTCGTGACCGCATCGCTGAGGCGAGTGCCGATGCGGACCCTCCAAGGTGCCAGACAGGTGCAACAGCAGGAGGAGGAGGAGGAGGAGGAGGAGGATCAGGAGGACGGCCTCAGCAGCCGCGGCTGGCCGCTCAGGCCGGCGACAGCCACTGCCGGGCCCGCGGTCCTGCGGCGCTCAGCAGCGTGACCGCAGTGCTGCGCGCCGCCGCCACGACCAGACATTGGCGTTTTTCGGCCTCTGCGCGGCCGCGCGGTCGGCGCGGGGCGCCTGGGCGCGGAGGAAGCCCTGCAGTTCTGAATGCGTGCGGCCGCCCGACTCGCAGGACGGCGGCGCAGAGCCCTAGCCCCAGGCAGCGGCTGTGTGTTTCCCACTCCCACTCCTGCGTCGCGGTGGCTGCCGGCGCGGCCCTCCAACGGCGGTCGGGGCCAGCGGGCACCAGGGTTTCAGCAACGATGCTGGCGTTACAGCACACGCGCCCGCCTGGGAAAGCCAGCACCGCGTCGAGGACGGCATGTTGGATGCCCTCAACCGCGCGCCGGTGCCAGGTTGGGACGCGCTGCCCGAAGCAGACCGCATGCTGCCCGCAGCGCTCCGCGAGCCACTCGCCCAGCGCGTCTCGCACGCCGTCGTGGCGACGCATGAACCCCGACCCCACCGGGCACTGGCACTTGCCGGCGTGCTCTGCGAGCGGCTTGCGCGTGGCGGCCCCGCACGGCACCGTTGCAGCAGAGCCTGTCACCAGTGCCAGCTGAGAAGGAGGAGGAGGAGGAGGAGGAGGAGGAGGAGGAGCAGGAGGAGGAGGAGGAGGAGGAGGAGGAGGGAGGGAGGGGAGGAGGAGGGGCAAGAGGAGGAGGAGGGGGAAGGGGGGGGGAGGCGGAGGAGGAGGAGGAGGAGGAGGTCCACGTAAAGAGGCCGCCGCCCGCAGGGCCATTGCGAACTCCTCGCGTCCAAGCAGGTGCTTGATCTCGCGCGGGCGGCTCGAGCGCAGGGGATGTTGCTCCACCGTGGGAGTGAAGGAGCCCCTGCCTTCCCCCCCCCCCTTCCCCCCCTCCCTCCCTCCCTCCCTCCTCCCTCTCCCTCCCCCTCCCTCCCCCCCTCCCCCTCCTCCTCCCTCCCCCCTTCCTCCCCCCTCACCCCCTCCTTCCTCCTCCTCCCTCCTCCCTCCCTCCCCTTCCCCATCCCTCCCTCCATCCCTCCTCCCTCCCTCCCTCCCTCCCTCCCCCTCCCCCTCCTCCCCTCCTCCCCCCCCTCCTGCCATTTCATGTGAGGGAGCGCCGGCAGCGCAGTCGCCTCCGACACAGTGCCCCGAGGTGCCAGCGAGGAGCAGTGCAAGGACAAGTGGAAGAACATCTGCAACAAGAGCACGAAGGCCGACGGTTTCCGTTGCCCCGCTGTCGACCTCGTTCGGGACGTGCGATCGGGATAGCCCTCTTGAGGAGCAGCGGATTCCTCCTTCTCCCCTGCTTGACTGACGTGTGGGGGGGGGGGGGGGAGAAGCACGAAGGCCGACGGTGCACCGCCAGCCTCGTGGTCCGAGGCATCGAGTGTCTTGCTGCTTCGTCCTCTTGGAGGGGGCTCCTCGTCGCCACGGCCTTGATCCGCCTCGGTTTTCTGGTTGGGGCGCACCCATGGAGGGGTCCACGAGTCGGTGTTCGACCCCTGGGCACAGACCCCCTCGCATCGTTGGCAATCTCCAGCTGCCTGGAGTCAGGAGGGGAAAAAAAAACACAGACACAATTAATCGTCGATTCCCATGAAAATATGGGAAAATATAGGAATTGGGCGGGAAGACAAAAACCCAGAAAATATGAGAAAATATGGGGAATAGTTGTATTTGTGTGTATTTATTTGTGTGTCCCAGGGCCCCTTCATGGAGGCCCTTGCCAGGCCCCCGGGCCGCCACCAAAAGCTTGACGCCCGCTGGTATGTTCCATCCGCGGCCGCAGAGTTCCGACCGTTTCCTCGGCATCGCTCGGACGTGTGCATTCTTTCTCGGCGAGAACCATCGAGGACCATCCTGGACCATCGAGCAAACAAAAACACGCACGAAATCGAAACATGCACGGGAAATGGACGTCCGAGCGACGGCAAGTTTCCTCAGGGGTAGTTCTCCGTCCCCGAATCCATGTTCAGGGGTCCCGCGGCCCGAACACGGCCCTACGAGGGCCGAAGTCGAAGACAGCCCGCTGGTGGAGCAAAAGCGCATCGCGTCGGGGATTTGCGAGCACCGCTGCGATGGAGAGCCGGCCCTGGGGATGGCGCTCCCCGCCCTCTCGCCCCATGCGAGCGCCGCCCACATTGAACATGGCAATCCCGCGCGCGCGCCCCCCGACTCAGGAGAGGAAAGAAGACACACAGACACGATGAATCGGCGATTCCCAGGAAAGTATGGGAAAATGTAGGGAGTGGCGGTGAAGACGAAAACCCAGAAAACATGTGATAAATATATATACATATAACGGCGCACCGGGTCCGGGGGCCCGGGGCCGGGACCTCGACCACAAATGTGCGCCCCGGGGGGCCCGGAGGCTCGTCGGGGCTTGCCGGAGGCCTCCTCAGTCAGACAAGACGGCCCAAGAAGCGCCCAAGACGGCCCAAGAAACTTCCAAGAGGCTTTTATTTTTTTATTTTCCAAGAGGGTCTTTTTTTTTTTTTTTATCTTTCCATTGTTTTTATTCTTCTTTTTTTTTTTTTCATTTCTTTTTTTTTTTCTTTTTGTTTTCTTTTTTTTTCCGAGACGCTGAAGATGGCCTCCAGACGTCCAAGGACGCCCCCAAGAGGCCCCAAGAAGCCTCCAACATGCGTCCCAATAGGGCCCCTAGACGCAAAAATTGGCCCATTCCCTTCGTAAAACGTACATTTTCAACAAAGTTCTCTTTTGGGCTTTCCGACGTTACAGGACGGCCCAAGAGGCGCCCAAGACCGCCCCAAGACGGCCCAAGAAGCTTCCAAGAGGGCCCCAGGACAGCCCAAGAGGGCCCCAAGACGGCCCAAGTGGCGCCCAAGATGGCCCAAGAGGGCCCCAAGACGGGCCCAAGAGGGGGCCCAGAGGGGGACCACGAACCGCAAGCTCGAGCCTTCCGCCCCAAGAGGCCGCCAGGAGGCCCACAGGAGGCCCCTCAAGAGGCCCCAGGAGACCCCAGACGTCCAAGGACGCCCCCAAGAGGCCCCAAGAAGCCTCCAACATGCGTCCCAAGAGGGCCCCTAGACGCAAAAATTTGCCCATCCCCTTCGTAAAACGTACATGTTCAACAAAGTTGTCTTTTGGGTTTTCCGACGTTACAGGACGGCCCAAGAGGCGCCCAAGACCGCCCCAAGACGGCCCAAGAAGTTTCCCAGAGGGCCCCAGGACAGCCCAAGAGGGCCCCAAGACGGCCCAAGAGGCGCCCAAGATGTCCCAAGAGGGCCCCAAGACGGGCCCAAGAGGGGGCCCAGAGGGGGACCACGAACCGCAAGCTCGAGCCTTCCGCCCCAAGAGGCCGCCAGGAGGCCACCAGGAGGCCCCTCAAGAGGCCCCAGGAGACCCCAGACGTCCAAGGACGCCCCCAAGAGGCCCCAAGAAGCCTCCAACATGCGTCCCAAGAGGGCCCCTAGACGCAAAAAATTGCCCATTCCGTTCGTAAAACGTACATTTTCAACCAAGTCGCCTTTTGGGCTTTCCGACGTTACAGGACGGCCCAAGAGGCGCCCAAGACCGTCCCAAGACGGCCCAAGAAGTTTCCCAGAGGGCCCCAGGACAGCCCAAGAGGGCCCCAAGACGGCCCAAGAGGCGCCCAAGATGGCCCAAGAGGGCCCCAAGACGGGCCCAAGAGGGGGCCAGAGGGGGACCACGAACCGCAAGCTCGAGCCTTCCGCCCCAAGAGGCCGCCAGGAGGCCCCAAGGAGGCCCCTCAAGAGGCCCCAGGAGACCCCAGACGTCCAAGGACGCCCCCAAGACGCTTCGCGTCACCAATTTCTTCTCGCAACGATTCCTGGGTCTGTGACTCGACAGAACCTAAGCGCGCGCGAAGCGCGCGCGGAGTTCTAGTAGAGATATATACAAGACTGCAGTGGCGCTTCGCGCCATGCACCTTGGTCCTTGCAGTTTGGTATGCAGGCGGAACAGCAGGAAGGTCAAGCCGACAATTTAGCGATAACTCCTGGTTGCCTTTTCTGGCATCGCCGCTATAATCATGTTATTCGTTATCCTTCCTCCATGTTTCTTTTTCCTTATTTTCGCCATGCCCTGCGCATTCTCCCCATCCTCCTCAGCTCTTTTTTGCGGAGGCTCCTCCTTGGAGAGCCTCTAGGGGCCTCACAAAAGTTGTTTCGGGCTTTCTTAAGGCCTTCTGGAGGCCTCCTGGGCGTATTCTGGGGGCCTCCGGGGCTTCCTCGGGCCACCCTGCCTCCAACCGCCGTCTCCCTGAACGACCGAATCACGATTTGGAATTCTTAGGAGGGTGTCTTTGGGCCATCTTGGGCCGCCATGGGGCTCTCTGAGGGCCATCTTGGACCCGTGTTGTGCCGTTTTGGGGCTCTCTTGGATTGCCTGGAAGCCCTTTCGGATGGTTGTGGGGCGATTGTGGAGCCTCCCAGGCGGCTTCGGACGCCCAGAAGACCGCCGTCTTGGAGCGTCGGGGAGCCGAAAAGAGGAGAACCCCAACATTCACCAAAAACCAACAGAAAATCCATGATTTGTGCCTCGGGGGGCCTTCTTGGGAGTGCTTTTGGAGGCCTCTTTGGGGCCGTCCTGGAGGCCTCTTGGGCCATCTTGAGGTCACGTCGGTCACTCTTGGAGCGCTCTTGTGCTGTCTTGGGGGTCTCTGGGACGTCTCCGGTGACCCCCCTGATCGCCCTAGGTGTTCTGGGAAGGCTTGGCAAAGCGCCATGTGAGGCCCGGGGGCCGCTTCGAGGCCTGTCTGGAGGGTCCCAAAGCTTCAGATCCAGGGAGTCCGGTTTTGTGTGGGGGGGGGTGATTGGTTTTCCCCCCGCCCGGGCTTATAAAAATATAGGAAGAGGAATATAGGATTCCTGGGATTTGTGTGCATTTGCTTGTGTGTCCAAGGGCCCCTTCAGTAGATCGGGGCGTTGATTGTTTGGGCTCCCGCGCGCACATCCGCGCCCACGTCACTGCGGATGCCCGCCGAGCAGAGAGCTGCACGCGGCGAGTCCCAAGGGGCCTATGGGGCCTATAGAGCTGCCGGCTGGTCGCCTCGTGCCTTAAGCGTCCTCGTCCGCCTGGGGTCCCCTTCTCAAGCACAAGAGGTCCTGTTGTCAAGCAGTGGCGAAGCGTCTTGGCTCGCCTATAGCCGTACTCAACAATGTTATAATAGCGTTGTGTGGTTTCCACGAAATGTTCTTGAAACATTTCTGGCGGAGTCTGTCTTGTTCTATCACATCGGGTTTATGGTCTAAGAACTTGTTATTAACAACATGTTTGGATTCTAGAAACATTTCGTGGTAGGACTATAGTAATTCCAGGACGGTCGGTCCCTGCTCAATGATTGCTTCCAGGGTGCCCTGGGCTTCTTGGGGTTCGATGGTTTCGCCATGGAAAGAGTGACGTTCCCACACCCAGAATCCATGGACGTCTTGGGGTCTCAGGGTTGGGTTTCTTGTGCAAGGTTTCTTGTGGTCGGGCCCCTACTGTGTGCGTCCTCGTCCGCCCCTGATTCTCTTCTCAAACAGATGTGCCATACGCACGTGGGCACCAGGGCTGCGAGACCCTGGTAATTACCCTCTTCGCATCTGTTTCCCCCCGATGTGCTGAATGTGAGTCTCCGTTTTCGCTGGGCCCCCAGCAGGTAGCTGTAGTTGCTCGGCGCATTGCGGTGACAGCCTTTGCCTACTCCGACTCATTCATCAAATACAGGAGTGGGGATCGGGTGGGGTCGGGAGAAGGAAAACTCGTTTCGTTACAGAGCGTTCAAAAACGCTTTCAGAGCTGTTTTAAACGCTATGAGAAGGCCGCGGTGCCCGATACATTCTCCAGAACCGCCAGATCGCAGGTATCCCCGATTTATCTCTATCCGATTTTGTCCCTCTCCTGGCCTCGTCTTAGGGGAGTGCCAAGGATCTTGGGCTCTCTGGTCCCTTCCCGAATCCCTGGGGAGCGGTGGGCATGGAAAGGTTCCCACCCGCAGCTCGAGCAGCGATCCATGTCCATCACCCTTCTATGGAGTCCAGGCACGGCTTGGCAGCTGCGGTGGACATGCTTGCATTCTGGCGGTGGAGCGGGGCATCAGGGGAGGAAAAGGTACCGATACAGTACCGCCAGTCCTGCCTCGTTTTCGCCTCTCTGGGCCTCCCGAGAGGCCCTCGTCGCCAGGGCCGGATTCGCCTCCAGAGCTCAGTCGGGACGCACCCAGGGAGAGGTCCGGGGAGTGGCGG